ACGACGACGACGACGACGACGAGATCTTGCAAAGGGTAACGGGGAAAGAGCGCTCGAACCCAGAGAAGGGTTCTTGCGTAACGGGGCCGAAGGGTTCGATTCCGGAGAGAGAGCAAGAGACGGCTAGCGCGTCCAGTCAGGATCAGTTACGCACGCACTTGCACGCATGTCGGGTCGGTCTATCATTGTATTGAAGCTGCGTCTACCACGACTCGTCTGCGAAGGGGGGCACGGAATCGACAAACGTTGCCACGCTTGCCAAGCGGCTCTAGTCGTCGTCTTCTTCGGCGCTTTCCTCGTCCTGCGAAGCTTGCTCTCCGTCGGAAGCTGGTGGGGACGGTGGATCCGGCGAGGTTATCGAGTTGAGGCTGGGCAGAGGGTGACGACAAAGTTGGTGAGCTTAAGTTCGTGGCTGCTCGCGACGAGGCGCGGAACTTACATGGTGACGAGTGGTTCGGACACCTTGGCGGCCTCGATCAGGCGTTTTCGAAAGTGCTTGCTGAGAACTTCAGCGTCTGTGAAACTAGGTTTCCCCCAACAAATCGTGGTCAGTCACCACGCTTAGCTCGGAGGTTGTGAGGCGGAACTTACGTGTGAATCACGCAGAAGCTGCGCAACTTGAGCCAGTGGATGTCGGGATGCGTCTTGTCCACGCCGGCGATCTTGGGCGCCACTTTGAGCTCGTCATCGCCTCCCCAGAGATTGCATCGTTGTTGGTCGGGCTTGGATTTGGTTTTGGCTTTGACTTTCGAGTCGGCGTTGAGTTTGGGTGGACCAAACCACTTGACGAAGCTGGGTTCTTGGACTGCTTGGCGCAGAGCTTGTGCTTGATCAGTGTTCTCGAGGATGTGCTGACGAATGGCAGCAAGGTCTTCCTTTTCCGGCTGCCACCGGCCCGCTGCAAAGAAGCTGCGCCCGCCAGGTTTGATCAAGACGTGGTAGCCGGCAAATGGGCCCTTTCGTCCGCCTCTGCTGTACGATGCCATGAGGTTCGTCTTGTAGGGAGTCTTGTCATTCGAAAAGCGCACGTCGCGATAGATGCGGTACACGAGGTCTTTGGTGGGGAGCCAGGGGACGGTGGGATCGACGTGCGTCATAATGTCGTCGAGAACCGCGGATACAAAGTCGCCAAAGTTGGTCCAGCAGTAGCGGTAGACTGCGTCGTGCTGAGCGAACCAATCACGATCGTTGTTGGCGGCCAGATCCGAAAGGAACCGCAAGACATTGGGACTGAGCTCACCCTTGGGGACGTGGTCGGTGGTGGGCGCGCCGACGAGTTTGGCCACGACGCGAGTAACGCCGGGTGCCCAGTCCGAGTTCTGCGCCGCCTTGCTGGCCGCCGCCCTGCTGGACGGAGTGGACGAGCCGGTCTTGCGACGCTTGGCACTGCGGCTGGACTCTCGCTGTTCGTCGGAATCGGAAGGTTCAGGCTCGGGCTCGTCGTCTTCTGCGCTGGCAGCGTCGTGCTGTTCGTACTCGTCCTCTGTCAGGTCGTCAGGCGCCGCATGGTCTTCGTCCGAGTCTTCGCGATAGCTCTGCCGGCTTGCGGCGGAAGCGCGTGCCGATCGACGCGAGCTCATCTCGCCAGCGTTGAGTTCGGCCGGTGTTGGTGTCAGATGAAGATCGGAAGCTTGAGCGGCCGAGCTTAGCTTGTTGGAAATCACATCTGAGCAGCTGAGCAGCCGAGCAGCGGGGCGGTGGAGCGTCTGAGCGTCTGAGCGCCTGCATCACCACATCCGCCGAAATGCCTCCACATTGCTCCGCTTCCTCGACTCGAGCGCGCCCAACAAACCAACCTGTGCAGCGCGAGAAAAGGGTCTCGAAAATTAGGGTCGCGAAAATGGCCCAATCGAGGCCGTGTTTGGCGCGCATTGCGCAGGCAGTCGAGCATGGCTGTCAAGACTGGCTCGTGCGCAGCCAATTCACCGCTCTAGCCGGTCGCCCACGCAGAGTCAAAGGTTGGCGCAGAGAAGCGCGCTCGGGCTCGGTCATGCTTCGGCTTGCCGTGGGCCGTGGGAGTGAGGTCGGCGCAATGAGATGCGGCTGTTGAGGACCCTTTGTTCGCGCAGAGCAGCAGCAGCAGCAGCAGCAGCAG